TATACATGTATGTCACTTTGGGTTTGCTGTGAAAGTTTAGGGTTAAAGTCCCGATGTGACACCAGTGTCACAGCGATGTTTGTCTCATTTGTTTCATATCAATTTGATCAAGAAATTTTTCCACAACAGGTTAAATGTAATAAAGGACATGTTATGTAAGCATTTTAATTCTTAAATGGCTTGAAATTTCCCTTTAGCAACAACAAAAAAAGCCTTTGAAATGTAGCTTGTTCTGTCACATGTGTTAGCCTGGCACATGGACATCTTGGACATGTTGTCATGGGAACACAAAATCACATGACCTGGATCATGACCCACCAGACTGTTCAATGTGTGTCACCCAGGGGCCGACTGGCCATTGGGAATACCGGTACCAAAGTGGCCCTCCCCTCCTTGGCAATTGAGTAGCGGTACCGAGTTGGGCCGGTCGGCCGGTCGAGTTTCCCGGGCTGATTTTTAGTCCAAGTCCGCCGCTGGTGTCACCTAGGGCATTCATGAGATAAAATAAAGTCTAAAGCTGTATAAGGAACTTTCCAGAACATTTAAAGTTCATGTGACACCCGGTGGGTCCTTATGGGTTAAAATATGGATGGAAAATAATTAAACAATATTAAGAATGGTAATTATAATCATAAGAATAATACTTACACTATTAAAATATGTATTACAATTATTATTATTATTAATAGTAATAACTACCTTAAAGTTCATGGAGAACAGGTTTTATGTATACACACAAAAAAATGTAACAAGGGAATATACTTTGTTACTTTCCACTACAAAAAATAGATAAAATAAAAAGCTATTTTAAATTTAAAAAGAAAATACACAAACCCTTCTGATATTTTCCACTGGTTGGTTTTATTGAGCAGAACACCTGTCTTTGTTTTTGCTTTTTTACACAGCAACATGAAAATCTTCCCACTTCCACTTTTACTAGCATTAGTACAAAATGTGTGTTTACAAAAGGATCCTCTCAGACAGGGGGGTCATGTGTCGGGGAACAGCAGTGCAGAGATATCAATAATAAACTCTGTGTACACGTATTATGAGAAAAAACAAAGTGAATGAAAGCTAACCTGCTACTGGAGTGCTCTCAATGTACGTCTGAGATTCAGCACCGTTTAATCAAACACACAAGACTACAGTATGTGCATTGAAGTCCAAAAGCTATACAGTACAAAACTATGGAAGGGATTTCATTTCACCCCGATTAACCATCCGATTGACTTCCCTTTCAACAAGTTGTCAAATATCTTACATCATATTCCTTGTTTTAATCCAGAATTGTAAATAAAAGCAGGTAAAATAACCCGCATATTGACATCTATTAATGTCCTTTGAGATTGACAGGTTTTAAAGGGGTAGTTACATGACAGGCAGCAAAAAAAGCAACAAAATAAAACACATTATTAAGACAGACAAATGAGGTAAACAAAACCATGGTATTATCCACATACCAAATACAGTCTTTCATTATACTTCATAAAAACCTTTGTGTTTTTCCATGAATGACAATTTATATCTTTTTGTTTGGGTGTAAACCGATTGAATTCCTGGTCTTTATGATTTTTTTAAAATTATTTCTATCACTATTCCTCGTTTTATAATAATTATAGTAGTAGTAGCACATGGAACCAGAACAATAATTGCCCTTTTTTTCATCTTCTTCCTTATTTTGTAAACAAACAAATGAAAAAACCCCTCCCACCCCAGGGTGTCAGTCATGAGGGTCGATCATCTCCTTCCTATAGAGTGGTGCAGGGATGTCGTATTTCTGTCCGGGACCATGAAGGCAGCATCTCCCTGATTCCCTCAACTAAAAAGCCAATGGAATTACTCCATGTGATTTTGGATTATTGCAAAAATAAACTCTGTGTCAAACAAACGTTAACGATACTTACAAGTTTTGTTCAGCAGAATAATTTCCACATTTTAACAACACTTATGATTTCTGAAGTAAAAAGCTAATGTTGGGCTATAAAGGAACTACAGCACGGTCACATGACGTCACACCACCACCGCTAAGCTAAAGGTGGCTAACGTTGGGCGTGATGACGTTTAGTCGTCTCATTTATACACTTGTTAGCAACCGCCGGTGGGGTATTAACTGACGTATTTTATGTCGTAGAACAAAACGTAAAAATCTCTTCAGCTTGTGTTGACCACAGACCTTATTTCAGGCTAACAACCAAAAAAAAAAAAAGACATCGACTTCCAGACGAGGGGACAGGAAGTGCTAAAATGCTGACTCATTTCCAGGTTTTGCTGACTCATTCCTGCACCACTCTACGGCTCATTGACAGAGTCACTTCCTGCGTTGGAGTTTATAACTCATCCTTGAGTTTAGAGTCTGTGTCCTCATCGTCCTCTTCTTCCTCCTCCCGCTCTTCTTCATCTCCCTCCTCATCATCTTCTTCTTCGTCTCCTTCCTCCTCCTCCTCATCCTTCTCCTCTTCCTCCTCGTCTTCCTCCTTCGCCTCGTCCTTCCTCTGATTGTCGTCTTCCTCGCGCTTCTTCCTCTCCTCCTCCTCTTGACTTTCCTTCATCTTCTTCTCCGCGTCCTGCAGAGGATTCACATGATGACAACGATATGAATAAATAAAATAACGTATAATTGATGATTCTGTGTTTGAATGGTCATTCAAATATAACCACTCTATAATAAAGTACATTGATTTAGTTTAATAAATGCTTTTTCTTTCACTAGAAAAACTAACTACTCAATTGACAAATGCATGAGCGAGATACATGCAGTCAAATAAAACTCTGCACTGACCTTAGTTTTACCCCACATGTCGTTTCCCACTTCCTCTGCCAGCTTTGGGTCGTTGGTGATCAGGAAGTTATCAAAAATGGTGCCGGACTTCACCTGCGTCAACAAGAAATCAACATTTACTGTTAGGAACTTCATAATAATAATTATAATAATAATAAATGAAATTTCTCAATAATAAGACGATCAGCTGCAGTTTCTTCTCACCTGCCACAAGTCCAGTCCGATCACGCCGATGCTGTCGTACTTATAGATCTCAGAATCAGCGGTGTACTCCGGGTTGTCGACCTCAGGGTGGACCCACTTGCCCTTGTAGGCCGGGTTAGTGATCTCTTTGGGGTTCCACTCTCCCTGTGAACAGCAGACAGAGAGGGGAATGTAAACATTTTGTTCTACAACAGAAAATATGTTAGTCTCCAAGTCTCTAAATGAGACTACTAAACGTCTTCACGCACAACATTAGCCTCCTTTAGCTTAGCGGTGGTGACGTGAAGTCATGTGACCGTGCTGTAGTTCCTTTATAGCCCAACATTAGCCGCCTTTAGCTTAGCGGTGGTGACATGAAGTCATGTGACTGTGCTGTAGTTCCTTTATAGCCCAACATTAGCCGCCTTTAGCTTAGCGGTGGTGACGTGAAGTCATGTGACCGTGCTGTAGTTCCTTTATAGCCCAACATTAGCCGCCTTTAGCTTAGCGGTGGTGACATGAAGTCATGTGACTGTGCTGTAGTTCCTTTATAGCCCAACATT